GTGTAAATTTCCGTTACTATGATGCACATAAATGGAGCGTCATAAATCACACAAATTTACATTATAAATCGTGTAAATTTATGAGACATGTCATGCAATATTCCATATATTGTATGCAACTTTCCACCTTTGTTTGCAAAATTTCTTGCAAGCTGCTAGTTTACGTGAAAAGGAAGTTTACATGCACGAATGTTTGCATGCATGGATGTTTACATCACCAGTAAAATTCAGATTTTTTTAGTGTGTAGCCCCATCCTGTTGGCCTTGCTTTCCTGAACAACTTTAAGTTACTTTTAAAAGCTACTGGCCAATATCTCGAGATATTACTTCGTGTACACTAGCGCTACGTAGTGAATACATTCTGATCTAACAGCCCATCCTATTGACCTTGGTGTCCAGAACAACTTTGTCGAAGAAAGTTACCTTATAGCTTGTCAAAATCTCGAGATAGGGGCAACGGCTCTAATTTCGGCCTAAATGTTCCTAATTTGGGCCCATCCATAAATTCAGTAGCAGCACACATTTTCATTAGCGATGCGCCCAACCTTAGATCTATATGCTAGCATTAGAGCCATTTCCCTTATCACATGTTGAAATTTATTGCTATCCTAAATTTATACCATAACACATTATCGAACCGATGACGTATAGTACTTATCGTCATCGCCGATAACGTTAACGTTTGAAGACGTTATCGTCATCGGCGTTAGCGATACCAGACGTTATCGCCATCGACGATGACGATTATTTATGATGACGATAATTTATCGCGTTAACAACACTGGTACCTAGCCCTTAAAAATATGCTGAAACTCTTATTAATGCAATTAGATTTCCTATCCAGGGGTGGAGCTTGACAAGTATTTTGTCGTCGAATATGAAAGAAAGGAGTAACTCCGGATGTTAATCAAACTGCATAAATAGAGGTACCATACATGTCTTGAATTTCCGATTAGAAGAGCAGAATAACAGCAGTCACATCTGAATGAAAATTAACGCAGAAGCATTTTTTCCTTGATTTGTTTTCCGTCGATCTTGTTTTCCGTGCTGAGCACCGATGCTACCGACACCAGGGAGGCAGCTTCCACACCTAGACCCTACCTATCGAACCATCAACTCATTAACCGGGGACCAACGGCTTTCCTTCCTGCGTGATCAGAGATGTTTTGCCTCAGAAGGTAATCACGCTTACCACTACACCACTGGCGTAGCTGACACAGAAGCATGGTGACATGATAAGTTTCCTGATCTATTTTATGTTCTTTAAGCTTAATAAATAATGAAGTATTGAAAATTAAACAAAATTCTCTTAACAGTAACATGGTTTCTCAAGCTTTTATGATGATCCCAATAAATAAACTTCACAGTCCATCAAGAAGCATCGTAGAACTAATGAAAACTTCGTAGACATTAATTGTGCTGCGTTGAACTTCTGAAAACATTATAGATGTGCAGCCATTCAGAAAATTCAGCTTAGTTTACACAAGCCTAGCAAACTTTGTGGATGTTCACTAAACTTCAGTGAAATTCAGTTGAACATGATAATTCAGATAATGTTATTGAACTTCAGAAAAATTTGTAGAACTTCATCAAATATTGGGAAAAATTAGGAATTATGATCAAGGATTTTTATTTAACCTCAGTAGAGATGGTATAGAGTATTAGAGAGGACATCTTCGAAATTTAGGAAATTAATGCTATTTATAGAATAAATTCAGAGAAAGTGGAAGAAACTGAGGGTGTTTGGCAGAAATTCTGGAAAGCTTTATACAACTGGGAGCCTTATAAAAGTTTGGGAAACTAGATTAACTTAATTTAATGGAATTTTGTTTATTTGCATAGAACTTCACAAAATTTCATTTAGCTTCAGTGTTCTGAAAAGTTTAATGGACTTAAGTGCCTATAATCGCGTATCAGTCCCATATAAATTTTCGTCAAATTTGAGATAACAACAGTATCGACTATCAGTTGGCATCTATGTGATGAAACTACGGACGTTGATCATGTAAAATTTGAAAACACTTTCAAGTCAGTTTGTCCCATCAAGAGCAAAATAATCGCATATCAGTCCCATCCTGAAATTCAATCGCCCATAGTTCAAGTTAAGTTCTGCTTTTCGAATTGCCATATTTTTCGCTGATATAACAAAACATGCAAGCATCATTGCAACTTATATTAGCTTGAAGAAAATATCAATAATTTTAGTATGATTTTTAAAATATTTACGCACTTTATAACCTCGACGGATATTTTTTCAATGCCTACTTTTTCCATATGGGACTGATATGCGATTATCGACAGTTAAAACGTCATAAAAAATCCATAGAAATTCTGTAAACTGAACAAAAAAAAATCCCTGCTATGTCGAGATAGGAAGAGCTGAAGCATGAATTGAATGAGAGTTGTGCCTACAAGCATTATAAATGGGTTATGTTTAACCGATGAAAATCGGTGAACAATGGACATAAAATTTATTTGCTCAATCCCATGGACGAGAGTGGTTAAGTTTCTAACGGAAAATGACGTGATTAAGTGGCAATGCTTAAAATACTGCAGAACAGGGCTAGAGTTGACTGAATAAGTTCATTACTAATTCATCATACTTAACTTTGATTTTGCAAACCCTAAAATTGGTTATTTGATTACCCCGTAGCGAGATGAGCCAGTGAGAAAACCACTCTCTGAAAGTCTCAGTTCATTTGGTTGAATCACCACAGTGACTATGATCAGTGCCGGATGTAGACCCCCCCCACCCATTAAGTATGAATTACAAAATATTCTCCTAATTTAAACCATAAATATTAAAAAAAAAAAATACAGACATGTAAACGATTACAAAATTGCACAAACAATTTTCAGAAATGCCATTTACAGTGTTGGTAAAATCAGAAATCAATTGATATTTTTCCGCTCTCATGCCCTCGCAATATCACGCGTGATATTGGAACAAACCATCATGCTCGATATTGATTTTACAAGCTCCTTTGATATTGCGAGACTATTCACAACGTGCAAAAATCAAGCTGAGAGTTGAATCGACACAAAAATGATTCCATTGCACATCGTTTTCTTAGAAAGAGAAAGCTTAGTTTGCTATCTCTTTTTAATCTTCACCGATGACTGACGCGAAGGGACTGCTGCAAGCCGTTATGGAAGTTTCGGTTGCATTCGGGTGTAAAGCAAAAATCATTAAACTCAATCTCACCACAGTTTGGTGAGATTTGCAGTTGGTGAGTTTTGTTAGCTTGATATTCCGAGCTGCGATATCACAGCTTGCAAAATCAACCGCAGTTGTTGGCTTGTTAATTTTTGTCTACGAAAATCAAGCGTGATCTTGGGCGTTGGTGAGATTTGATTTTTTGATATTTTCCCAACATTGGTCTTTTATAAGTTTTTCAAAATCAATAGTTTGAACCCATTAACGCCCGAAATATTTCACATTCATAATAAGCACGTGATTTTTTTTCTGGAACACTTTGATATAGTCGAAGCATGATTTTAACGACATTAAAAATTAAAATCTACGTTCTCAGTTTTGTATAAAACACGGTGGGTCATATGCTCCTAAAATATTTAAAAGATGAATTAGGATGGTATCGATTAACACCGACGTCGACATCAAAGCAACAGCCCGACCAGTGTTGGCAAAATCATCAATCAAATGATATTTTCCGCTCTCAGGCGCTCTCAATATCCCACGTGATGTTGGAACAAAATATCGTGCTTGATATTGATTTTACAAGCTCCTTTGATATTGCGAGACTATTCACAACATGCAAAAAGCAAGATGAGAGTTGACTTGACACAAACGTGATTCCGTTGCACATCGTTTTCATAGAAAGGGAAAGTATAGTTTGCTATCTCTCTTTACTCTTCACCGCTAGCAGAAACGATGCTACTGCTGCCAGCAGCGCCGGTATTTTCAGATCGCGTTCGGATGTTAAGCAAAAATCATGAAACTCAAACTCCCAATGGTTTGGTTAGAATTTTATCTAGTTCGTTTAATTGTAAGGCTCAATCGCGTTAGCTTTACGGAGCCAATAATGTATTGTTCTTTGTTTATATCAAAATTGACTTAATTCTATGTCTAGTAGGAGTTGGGCTGAATAATCGTGGCTTACCCGAGATTAGAGGGGTACATTGTCGAAGGATAGGAAAAGGGGAGGAGCTTAGGTGTAGGGTTTCGTTGTCTCATCAGTGCGATGTCACCCGTATGAAAGGTAGTGTGGTTCTAGATTTGGCTGGAGTTCGACCGGCTATGGTGACCAGTGGGCGACGATGAGACTCATCGAGATGGGGGACAAGACAAACAAAAACGAATAAAGAGATACAAAAGACAAACAAATCAAATTATTTTACTAGACATTTGCAGAAACACATAAATCGACTGCATATTGCAGAGATCACGGGTCTTCCTTGGGCCTCGAGGGTATTCAAAAGTCGCTCTCTGGTGGCGTCATTATCCGTACATTGCCAAACTGCGTGATCGATGTTATCGTAACCGTTTCCACACCGACAGATGTTGCTGTCCACGAGGTTTATTCTATTGAGATGAGCATCAAGCGACTAGTGGTTGGACATAAGTCTACTCATCACGCGAATGAATTCATGACTTAAGTCCAAGCCTTTAAACCACGCTCTCGAAGAGACATTAGGAATAATTGAATGTAACCACCGTCCAAGATTTCCAATGTCCCAATCAGTTTGCCAACTTGAAAGGGATTTGGTTAGAATTGTATGTGGTGAAATTTGTTAGCTTGATATTCGTAGCTACCATATTAGGGCTTGTAATATCATCCACAGTTACTTGCTTGTTGATTTTGTCTACGAAAATCAAGCGTAATCTTGAGCATTCGTGAGATTTTTTTTAAAATATTTTCCCAACACTGAGTCCGACATTTATGATCGTGATTTTATCTGAGAATAATACCGTTTGATCATTCCCGAGTCTCTTGGTAGAATTGATTAACATTAATAGGGTTGTAAACAACAACATGGAATCTTGGTAACGGAGCGTACGTACATAACCAAAAGCATTCAGAATTGAGTAAACTAATGAGTAATGGATATACATTCAAGGTACATTTAAAAAGTGGTCCTATCTCAATACATGCCAATGTAATGTGAATCTACAACAAAAAAATTAGGCCCTTTTCCATAGCAATGCATTAACATATTTAATACTGATGGAATTCTCATGCCAGATGGTAAAACTGCTTTCAAACTCAATTGAGTCTTCACTGTGATACCTCGTTCGCACCGTATTAAAGAGTAACACGGCGTCTCCTGCCAACAGTTGCTGCCATTGGAGGCTTCACATTCCAGACGATCTCTTCAATCCAATCCAGGTGGTGGGAAACTCTGCTATAAACGTCGATGGTAGTGAGATTTGGTCCAAAGTTCGCGGAACTTGTCACTCCTACTACTGTGTACAAACAGGTTCGACTGTTGACCGACTGCAGAGGAGTACCGGGAAGTGCTACGTTGCTTATTCTCAACCGATCGCTATTGATCACACACAACTGAGCAGATATGGTACCGTTGGGTGCAATTTTGGACGTAGTACTCAGTTGATCGCATTGCTCCTTAGTGATGATCTGATTTTCATCGGAATCGATGAATTTTTTTACACCTAAAATGATCGATTGTTATGTTTTCAATTGCACAATACGGCACATCCTCAAAATACCTGTAAATAAGCTTTTACCATAGCCGGTTTGAAGCAGCGTGTCGTAGAGATTCTCCGTCCAGTTGTTGGCCAAACAAGCGGGGATCAAATTGCTGGATAGCTCGACGGCTGAGTTCAACTTAACAACCGCTAGGTCATGGTACAAATATTTCGTTTTATATTGTGGATGACACGTTATTTTCGAAATACCAACAATACCATAAGCATCGATTTGTACCTTTGTTGGTCTTTGAATCTGAGTACTGCTGTTGAAACTTGAAAGAAAATATTATTCTAGAGCACTTTCTATGTAAATTTATGCTACTTTACTGTTCACAGTGGCAAGCAGTTAGCACGTGATTTTCATTCACGAGAACACCAGCACATTTAGCTTCACCATCGGGATAGAGAAGGGTAACCTTTGAATAGAATATGATTAGAAGTAGGTTCGCTTGCAGAAGGACATAAATGCTTACAGTATGCGGATATCTTGCGTTTGCACAACTTCCAATCCGTCGTTTCTTTGTCAATCTCTGAAACCGGTCACATTCTGAAATTTTATAAAGATTAATAGAACTCCTATTGACGCTTTCAACTTCTTCAAAACACCTCTTTCGCTAGTTCGTTTCGGCCTTTCCACTGTAGGAGACATGATTTGTTTGATCCACGGCAAAAACCGCTGTACATTTACAAATACCGCAAATTTTGAAGTATCGACCTCATTCCTCATCTCGTCCGCCTTCGCAAAGGATATGATTCCTTTGAGCACCCAGCTATCGCCTTCACTGAAGTACATGCCTCCCCCGCTGTCTCCCGTGCCGGGGCTGGTTCCTAAACAAAACGTCAAAAAGTAATTTCTGATGCATTTCGATTGCTACCTTAGTCAGCTACCATTACGCTCCCCTGCACAGAACACATTCCGATTTAGCAGATTTCCAAATAAAATCTGATCATCGTTGAAGCACTGCAAATAACCAACCACAGGCATCGAGGCCGTCTTGAGTACATCCGATATGACGCCACTCTCCGTCGTTCCCCAACCAGTGATCCAACCGCGTTGACCTTCTAGATTCCGTAGATCACTGTCCGCCCGTTGATCCATGCAGATTGGGATAACAAAGTCTGTATATTGTACCGGAAATTTCATCACCAGCATCGCAACGTCATTCTTGTGAGTGGAATGTTCTGGATGAACGTGAACATCACTAACCTTTCGGACCTGAACATGACCGTTCATCTTAGCGATATTTTGCTGTCCAAAATGAAGCTCGAATCTATTCGCTGGTAATGGATAATGTGAATTACGATTGATGACACAGTGGGCCGATGTCAGGACGTGTTTCTGGTTCAGCAAGGTAGCACCACAAGCGTACTCATGGGAATCGGTTTGTGTTTTGTGGAACAAGGCACCATGCCAAGGCCACTGTCCTTCTTCCGCCGCCCATCCACGATGCATCCTTGGAACAAACGAATGCTTACGAATTCCACACTGGTAGGATGCTCCCAGTGGATAGATTTGCACTAAACCAAATGCGAGCAGCCATGTGAGGACGATCATTGTTTTTTAGACTCTTTTCGTGATGTTGAACAAACTACAGCTGGTGATGGACTGACTGTTGAATTGATACCGTACCGCCTTATCTCAACGGCTATGTTTTCGTACGGTTGGAAATACCATCAATTCATTCACAGATAAGCTTGGGCTCATCTGTGTGAAAGACTCATATTGATGCGCTTATGTTGTCACTTTCCACATTAAAGTCTGAATGTGTTTGCTATTCGATGAGGCTGTATTCGGGGCATTTCAAATGAAAAAAGGGTTTTCAGTATTTGGTATTTGAGTTGTTTTCTTCCATTCGTTAGGCATTTCATTTGTAATGTACACTTTCTGCATTATTTCTACTAATCTCTCAATTGAATATTCATCGGCACATTTAATATACTCCGCAAATATACGATCTGAACCTGGTGACTTACCATTACATGTTGAATAGATAATGCTTTGTCAATGGGATAAAATTGGATTTGGATCATTGGATGAAGTCTTCGACGGGACTTGACGCTGTTGCCAGAATGTTTTGAAGCTTATCGGTATCAAACGTTTTAAACAATCGGTATTTATCGGTATTTACTATTTTAATTAATTTTATATTTTGCCGTTTCTGAAAGCGAAAGTTTTAACTTTTGAACTATGATCGGAACTTCTTAATGTAGATTGGAAAAATTCTGGAGGAAGTTGAAGGCCAGAGCACTAACGGAACAGTCGAAACAAACAAGGACATAATTCCGGAAGAAAGAGCTCTTGGGGATGTTCTAATGATCCAGAAAATTTTCCAATTGGTTATAAAACATCCCCGAAGACCCCGCAATGCCCCTGAAGTTTTTGGAACATTCCTGAAATGTACTTAAGAATATTCCATAATTCCTCGGAATTCCTTTAAAGCTATTGTAATTTTCCTTAATTTAATAGGGCTGTTTTGAAGTACTCTGATCATCTTTGAAATACTTGGATTATGATGAGACTACCGGAATATCTCTAATCAACTCTCTAGAATTTCTTGAAGATTACGAAATTTCTTAGGCGCTCTCGCAATTTTTTTGAATTTATTGTAACATCAGCATTAAAATTCTCTGATCTTCCCGATTTTTATAATTTTTAAAAGTTATCGACACTGCCATTAATAAGCACGGAACTTTCCATAAAATGTTCTCACAATGTGCTAATGTTCATGTAACTTCCCTTACGTTTCTTAAATTTGCATGAGCCCCTCGGAACATTGCTGAAGTTTTCGGAAATTGCCTGAGTTTCTCGGAACTCCTTTGAAATTTCAGCGATTTCCTTGAAATTTATTGATCTGTCCTGAAGTTCGCTCAATTCTCCTGAATCTGAACTGAACCATTAAATTTTCCAGAAGTTCTTTGGACTTGTGAAGTATCCAAAATATTTATGATGTTTCCTTAGGTTCACTGGAGTTTCCTGGACCGGAGTTTAGAATTTTAGCAGAAGTTATTGAAACATTCTTTATTTTATCGAAAGTTACTCAAATAATTATTTGATTATTTAAAAAAAAATTGGTATAAATCGGTATAAAACCTCAAAAATCGGTAGTCTGATTAACCTTATCTGTATATCAGTATTTAGTTCAGAAATCGAAATAAATACCGATAAATCGGTATATCTGGCAACGCTGCTTGACAATCGGGTAGCGACTTCGAGCCAATTTGCTATCAAATCCGAGCCAGTTCCTGATTGGTCGATTTGACAGTAGCAATCGTGGAAAAAAAGCGATCGTATCAATCTGTCTGACAGTGATGCCGGAATCAATGTTGACGTCAATGGCATTGTTAATTGTTTATATTTGCGAAAGGAAAGTTGAAAATTGAGTGCACTGCGTGTTTTAAGGGATGGATATGGTTGTTCATGGTTGTTTTTAATGTGTTGAGCAAAAATGATGAACATGCTGCTAGACTGCGGTAGAAACTTCATATAAAATCCAAATTAAAATAGAAAATATGTTTAACATTCCTGGCATCCTTGGTCAACTCCGTCAAACACCACGAACACCACGTACAACTTTTCGAAGGGCATGCTTAAAAAAAACATTAAGCAGAGTAAGAAGCTCGATTTTCAAGTCCTGTCCCGGGATAAAGCAAGCTATCATAGTAGCCTATGAAGACGTTGGAACTATAATTCTATTCCCTGCACATAACATATGTGGAACTTCATGCAAAATAACTGACTAAAAGTTTGCCCCTTTTTTGTGTTGCCTGCCTCATTGGTATAACTGGTATAGTTGGCCATCGATCTGTCAAAATTAAAATTTTCATTATATCGACACTGTGCGTTCACAAGGACCAATGTCGAAAACGTAAACAATGGCTTCTTGCGTAAATTTCTCGTAGTTCAAAGTGAATCCATGTAAGCCACCTATTCTATCGGATAGGGGAACCCTCCCTCTACATAATCATCGTAGTGGTTTACTTGAGTGTTTTTTTTATTTTCGAGAAATTTGCGCAAAAAGTCATTGTTTACGTTTGTGACATTGGTAAATTCCCATAAACATGTGAACATCTGTGCATGAAATCTAGCGAACTTTGTCTTATCTTTTCACTTCACCACGGTACCAGTGAGGAGCCGTCTCTTCACGCAAAGCTTGACAGTATCTTGTGGAATTTTCATAGGAGTGAAAGAGAAGGAAATAAACACCACGTTTCACGCGTAGACTGACGTTTGCTGATGGGAATTTACGATAGGAGTAAAGAGTCACAGCCCCGTAACGTGGGTAGATCACCTTTTCGTGGTACGCTACGTGATGTAAGATCTACCACCGATTCCTAGTCCTGACTACTTCAAACTAGGGGAACAGGATTTTTCAGTAATCCAAGGAACCAGTGTTAGAAAAATCATCAATCAAATTATATTTTTCCGCTCTCATACGCTCTCAATATCACGCGTGATATTGGAACAAAATATCATGCTTGATATTGATTTTACAAGCTCCTTTGATATTGCGAGACTATTCACAAGGTGCAAAAATCGAGCTGAGAGTTGACTCGACACAAAAATGATTCCGTTGCACATCGTTTTCTTAGAAAGGGAAAGTATAGCTTGCTATCTCTTTTTACTCTTCACCGATGGCAGACACGAAGTGACTGCTGCCAGCCGTTATAGAAATTTCGGTTGCGTTCGGGTGTGAAGCAAAAATCATAAACCTCAATCTCACCACAATTTGTTGAGATTTGCAGCTGGTGAGTTTTGTTAGCTTGATATTCCGAGCTGCGATATCACAGCTTGCAAAATCAAACGCAGTTGTTTGCTTGTTGATTTTTGTCGGCGAAAATCAAGCGTGATCTTGGGCATTGGTGAGATTTGATTTTTTGATATTTTCCCAACACTGCAAGGATCACATCTTAGTCCTTGTTACTTTTTATGCCTTGTTGATAGTTTTGGTTGTTCGACTGGTTGTATGGAGATTTCGTTTTTATGGCTTTCTCAGTCTAGGGTAATTCAAACAGTTAGTTGTGCATTGGGAAATGCACAACTAACTATTTGAACTACCCTAGACTGAGAAAGCCATAAAAACGAAATCTTGTTGATAGTGACAAGACTCGGCTTTGTCTACCGAGGATGATCTTGAAACAAGGCAAAAAATGAGTTAGTTGTCTTCATCTATGTGATTCCTAATCTTCTTTTCGTTGTTCCCTAGTTTGAAGTGGTTAAGACTAGGGTTCTGATGCATGGTCATTATCGGTGTCATACCTTAATTTTGTTGCTAAGGAATCCAATTTTGACTGACAAAGGGGCGTGCCTTTGGAGAGTGTTTCAACACTCCGAAGAGTATAAATAGTGGGACCTTTCAATTAGAGTCGGATCCTTGCGATAAATGCAAGAATGAAAACTGTAAAAAAATCGAATACTTCATCATTTCTCAATAGTGATGGAGTAATACGACATGCACTAAACTAAGGACACGGGATAGACTACAATAGATAAAATTACTGGTTACAGTGGTGTTAGGTCCAGAACAGAGGAAAACAAAAAACAAAAAAAAAAGAGTCACAGAGTGACCGAAAAGGCGATTGGTAAATTGTCAAGGTAATGCGGCCATTATTTTTTCGAATAGCTCTACAGAGGGCTTATCAAAGGATTTTTGAACTAGTATTTTCAAGTTGGTCAGAAGCCAATCAAGAGCGTTATTAGTCAGTAATATTGTTCACTGTGCTTTTAGTAAGTTAACTTTTGAATGTTATGATTTCAGAACGAAATATTCTGTTGATGGATCTTAATGTTTACAATTTAAAAAAATCGTATTTTTTTTCTAAAAAAGCTAGAAATAAAACTAGGGTAAGTGTGCCAAACGCCCAACAAACAATTTTAGCTGCAGACTAGCTTATGCAGGCAAAAATTAGCTGTATAAGCCAATTTTTGGCTGTATAAGCTAATCTGCAGCTAAAATTGTTAGTTGGGCGATTACGATTCGTTTGTAAATTGTGCTTAATGTTGCTAGGAACAGTAGGCGTTCCTGGTAACTTTGAGACAGCTAGCTGTGAGTCCCTGCCTGGGACCTTAGCGATAGTGGTTGGAAAAAGTTTGTTAGGATCCTATTTAGCCCCTCCTTTGCCTTTTAGATCAATTTTTCCACGTTCTTTAGTACAAAGTAATTGGAGTAGATCTTTGTGTTGGGATTTGAGCAAAAAAATTGCAAATGGCCGCAGTTGAGAAATATATGCAGGGTTGAATCCTTGGGCTTTACAGGTATCGAAGCGCTCGATTTGATTTATCGTTCTGTTAGCGAAATTCTTGCGAATGGAATGATGGTCACTTGAAAACATTGCATTTTTTTCGGCAGTAATTATTCCTCCTTCCTTAATTTTATTGTAATTTACGCAGTCGCATTATTCCTCCTACGGATCCAAGTGAATTCAAAGGTTGATGCAATTGGTGCTAAACTATTGGAACAAGTTTGACAAAAAAAAATAGAATTAGAAGAATTAAACAAGTTTTCGCGTGGAGTTCTCCCACTTTTTTGCCATAACTACAGAAAAACAATACGTATTGTTTTCAAAATTGGCCTGTCAACAGATACAATATGGACCATA